TAGATAATTTTATTATTATTACAATATATATAACATTCACAGATTACCAAAGCATAGTAGCATAGTACAGATAACTAAAGCATTTAATGCTAAATTGATTTTGTATCGCATACGATTATAGTTTTAAAACTGTTTATATTTATTTAAGATTTCTAATTTTTTCTAAATGTTTTTAGAGAAGATACTGTTTGAGTACTGTGCATAGTTTTTGCACGTAACGATTATAATATAGAAGAAAAGGAAGCCTTTCTTCCGATCTTGTCACCATTGATGTATCGAGCTATAGATCATTAGTTGATTAGCCACAAAGTATCCAAAATTTTGAAATAATGTCTGTATGTTTAATACTTCAAGATAAGTGTAAACATTATTTATGCGTATTTACTATAGAATAAAAAAAATGGTACAAACAAATTTTGTGTTGGTTAAAATTTAATATATTAAGTAGGTAAATCATATTCTGATGATATACTGCAGGGGTTCAGTTCTATGTCTGGCTACATAAATTATTATATGTCATCATATTCTCAGCTTTAGTTACATGTTTTTTCCGTCATTTTAGTAATCAAAGTCAAGTCAAAATACCTTTATTTTTTTTTTATGCGAGAAGTTGTCAAAGGAGCAGACGGTTCACCTGATGTTAAGTGAATACCGCCGCCCATGGACATCTGCCACACCCGAGGGAGGTTACAGATGCGTTGACAACCTTTTGAAAATTGGGCTCCGGCTACCTCACTCACCAGACGAAACGCGAAAGTATTTGTCATACTTCCACTTTACGCTGGTCTTCTGTGAGGTCGTGGTACTTACCGGACGGGCCTGCCCATTCTTGCAACAGCCGAGGCTTCAGCGTGGCCCTACCACCGTCAATGTATTATTCAATATAGGCTTATCTTAAGCTCTTATTGAACGTCAAAAAAAAACTACCACCGCTTCACTAAACTAGACCTGAAATGAGTACAACTCGGCATGAAACTCTAGGGTCTTGGTCTCTTTTTTTTTATTTGATGCTATATAAAATCAGCAGCAGCCAGGGGTTTTGCAAAAGCAGAGCAAGAGTCAATTCCACACTTGTATTCTTGGACATTATAATAGGCACCTGCAATTAGGGTAAATTAAAAAAAATTAAATTGTTTATACTAAGTTGTTTGTGGATGTCACCTATTCTTATTATGAAATTTAATGCATCTACCAAGAAACGACTTTCTGGTTTTAACCAGTCTAAACCTCGGTACTTCCATGGTGTTGTGTTTGTGTCCAGTGTATTTGTTTAGAAATATACCGTAGTGACTCACTTGGACTTGGGCCATAGACAGCCCGTATAGCCAGCTTTTGTAACACAGATATTGTGTCTAAATCGGTTGCGGAACCCCAAAGTAAACCACATTAATACTAGTGGTATTTTATTTGGTTGTTCTGATGTATCATCTTTTCTTTTAACTCTAAACAATAGTGAAGTGTCATCTGCAAACAAAACAATTTAAGAACTTTTTTCCACCATATATGGCAAATCCTTAATATAAACTAATAAACAGAAACGGGGCTAGGATCTATCCTTGAGGAACGCCGATTTTTACCTTTGACTCTATTAAACAAGGCATTGAAATTGTCATCGGGATCATTAATAGGATCTTTATGTTATATGATATAATGTTTATGTTATAGGTAATACGCTCAAATTGTTTACGCCTTGCTTTTATTCATGACGTGCTCATTAGACTATCCTTACAAAATAGCGTTTTAGGGCAACAGTTTACCGAGTCTTTGACAGGAGCGTCATGTACGACCAGCTCTCGCTCGTTACTCACACTCATGAATATTTGAGTTACTCAGGCGCTACTGGAACTGTTGAAAATACATTAAAAACTTTTATTAACCTTAATTCTGAGGATGGAAAATGAGTGTAATACAAAATAATTGATTTTTATTGTTAGACTAACCGTATAAAACTCTTATATTTTAAGTTACAACGTGTTGTTAAGTGAAAAAAGTGAGCAATATTTCTTTTCATGAATAAGTATTTTGTTTCCACGTGCATTCAATTTAATAAAAATAAAACTTCCGTCAATTTAAGATACGCTTTTCCTTGTCTTTCTGTCATAGTTGTCCATATAATTATTATTTTTCATTCTCCCAAAATCACTACATAATATAAAACAAAGTGATCCCGCTATCTGTCTATCCCTATATGCTTAGATCATTAAAATTACGCAACGGATCTAGATGCAGTTTTTTTACTAGATAAAGTTATTCAAGAGGAAGGTTTATATGTATAATACATTGCACCCGTGCGAAGCCGGGGCGGGTCGCTAATTATTCATACTATAAAACGTTCACATCTCAAAATATGTGTAGTGTAATTGTTATTTTATCGTCACAATTATTATAATTTAATAATGAAGTTCAATGTATAATATATAAATAACCTTACTTTATAAAAAAAATTAATATTTATGATTATTAATATAGGTCACGCGGACAAGCAAACTCCGCTTTGTTATTCGATATCTCGCATCACTACGTCACCGCATGACGTGCAGCGGCCGCCCAGTCGAGCGACCGCCGCGCGCCGCTAAGTAACGACAAAATGTTGATATCGAGTGCACAACGCTTACCTAACACCATTGCATACTTAAATATTTGTATAGCTTCTGCTTAACCATTGCAAACGCTCTTTTAACTGCTTAACTTTCCTCTTCTGTTTCCAAAAGTTCAGTGGCAATATTTATCTTTCTCCTTCTTTCTTTTATATTCTGCTTATTACAATAAAGAAGTGTAATAAATTATGTCGTCGTTTGATTTATGATTTCAGACGAAGAATAGTACAAAGACCCACGAGACGACTTCATCCTTACTAATATTATAAAGGCGAAAGTTTGTATGTATGGATGGATGTTTGTTACTCTTTCACGCAAATACTACTGAATGGATTTTAATGAAACTTTGCAATAATATAGCTTATACATCAGAATAAGACATAGGCTATAATTTGTATACATATTTTATGTATATCTGTCTTTCAATCTGAATGTTACGCCTTCAGCCTATTCTACGCAGACGTAATTGCGGGCAGCAGCTAGTATAAAATATGATATAAATGTATATGATTACGACTCAATATCGGCATGATTGTTATTTATTATTTTGTAGTGAAAAAGATCCGGGGCACCGGGAGTAGAAATGAATATTGATATAAACCAAAGAAAACGTGAATTTTTGAGAAAATATATAACAGTACGAAAAGCGGATGGCGGAAAAGTGTTTTACGGGCTGTGGCTACTAAGGTGTCATATAATGCACCCATATTTTAAATTTGAAAAAGAGATAATTATTTTAAGGCAATAAATATTCAAAATTATACGCGACATGTTAGATATTTCATCTGGCAATTGTCGCGAAAGAAACCCTCACCAACGATAATCGGTATAACAAAAAGATCTTAAAATGTCTCTCTTTCTTTGACCAACATAAAAAATTACAAAAGAATTAAAATTCCACGCAGCCTGGTTTCGTCGGTTAAAAAATAATTATTTCCGTGCAAGTTAATTAAGAGCTTTACGGATTAAGCACCACATTTCCATTTAGTGAAACCTGCTCTGCAAGAATAAGTAGGTCGGCCATTTCTACAACCTAACCTGATAAATACTGTAAACGTAGCTTTCCAGTTTTTTTTTTTTAATTTTAGCTGGAATGCGTTAACGAAGTATTTTGCAAGTGACTTTTTGATTTGCTTGAAATTATTTAAAAATATTTAAAATACTTTCGCTAAAGTCAATTATTCACCGTCCATTAGCTTTTATGTATTTTTAACTAGCGACCCGCCCCGGCTTCGCATGGGTGCAATGTTTTATATATATGAACCTTCCTCTTGAATCACTCTATCTACTAAAACACCGCATCAAAATCCATTGCGTAGCTTTAAAGTTCTAAGCATACATAGAGAGAGACAGACAGACAGTGCGACGACTTTGTTTTATACTATGTATAGATATACTTATGAACTATCGATTCATCAAGAATGGGTCTTCGAACTGTGAAAACCTTGAACGTTCGAAAAACGTTTGTTCTTTAGTTTACGTTCGTTCACCAAATATATAAAAATAATTTCTTAAAATCAAAGCTGTGTATAGTATGTATAGTGTATAGTTGTGCAGTGAAAATTATTTATACAAGGTTTGGTAATATTTATAACTAATTTAAAAATAACAGATACTGTTCATCTTTTGATATACATGGAATAAAAAGCTTCGATGAAATCCTTTTCACATTTTAAGTAACAAAACTTCCACGTCTAAAAAGCGTTAAGTGATAAAAAATTGGCGAGCTTTTTTTTCTATATTGTCAGTGGTGTACGATTGAATCACTTGTCCACGGGAACGTCAACTGTGAATACCAGATGGTGCCGCTAAATCCGCGTTAATCCTAAATTTGTTATCTGTTTGTAACTACTCATTCGCGTATTGCATTTCAACACGTTAACGAATATAATTAATTTTTGAACTTATAAAACAATCGAATAACACAAATTGGAATTGTACTTTTGGTTAAACTGGCCATACTTAAAATTTTGGACTATTCATGTTCATTTTTATGAACTAATAGCGGCTTGTAATTAAAAAAAATATTTAAATTTTAAATACGACGGTAATTTGCTAAAACATTATAAATTTACTATTATTTAACAGAATATAATATATTATATTCTGTTAAATAAACCCCCTTTTATGGGGCTAGTCATAAAATATTTAAGTATTTATAATGTATGTAATGTATGTGTAATACCATAGATCTGTACATAGTAATTAGTGTTATACTATTTTAGAACCGGAGCAAGCTTCATAATTGGCTTAATGTATTCTTAAATTTAATAATGAGGGCGTTACCTGTGTAATGTAATTTCTAGGAAACACTATTCCACCTCTAGTTGTACTAGTATTAACATTAGTTTTTGAGTAATTAATTATTTAACAAAATCTGTATTCATGGACTGACCCCTTAGGATGTTGAAGATCGGGCGAGTTGAGGAGTTTGAGTACGAAGGCAGACACTGGCCGGGATTAATTCCAGGTTCTTCTACCTGGAATTAATCCAGAAAGAAAACAAGTATTCAAAAGCGTTTCCTCTAGCCTGCAGTATGTCATGTGTGGTTTTAAGGACCTCAATACGTGGTGACGAGTACGAAGCGCCACATTGATGCTTACGAAGGATCCCGAAGTAAGTTTATTTTATATGCCATGTATACAAAATCATAGTTCCTAGTTCATCGTGTTGAATACACGATGAACTAGTAACTGTGGTTAGGTTTAAGGAAGAATAGTTAATAGTGCTACTGTCTCGCAAATTATGACTGTAAGATCGATTGTTAATAAAATAAATCCTTTTTTTTTATTAACAATCGATCATTTTCATGCATTTTCGTCATCTAAAATCGTCAGTCTTAAGTCAAAGGAGATCGAGATGATCTCTATTCCGACTTCGGGAAATAGTTTGTTTATTAGTTAAGTTAAACAAATAAGTAATAGAGATATAACAGTTAGCGAACGTGTCTGGCTGTTACAGGCCTAGACAAAGCGGTGCAAATAAGAAAAATATACAAATGAATGGAACATTCTTAAAAATTCTTGACTACCACTTTATTAAAATACAACAATTATTGTTGTATTTTAATAAGGTGGTTTATTGTTGTATTTTAATAAAGTGGTAGTAATAATTGTTGTATTAAAATATTTTCTACATATTTTAATACAACAATTATGTCAAATGTAACGTATACGAAATCAAATAATTTGGCCATGTTAAAATCTTTGTTTTCTATCTTTTGTCTTTTTAATTATTGACTTCTCTTTTTTAAATCAAATATTTATAATTTGGAAAAGATTCAAGAAAATTAAGCCTCGAGTTACAGACGTGCAAGGCCTGAATTGAAAAGTAATAAAGCCTGTTTTTACTAGAATTTATTTGCACAAAGCAAGTTAAAGTAAATTTGATCGCAGAATGAAATTTTAGAACGAATGCAGACTTAATTAAGCACCAGGCATTCTGTAATTCACAAATCGTATCGAAACGTGTAACGACATGTTCGTTACACGTTTCGATACGATTTAAGAATGTAAAAGCTAATTGGTACACACGATTGAATATTTAAAATAGATTATTGTCCATTCCTCGCGCGACCACGCGACTTCAATGCGGATTGGCCGACATAACATAACATAACTTTATAATTAACATAACGTTATACCTGAATAAATAGTAGTACTATTTTATAATTGGTACATACTTAAAATAGCAGAGAGATATAGATCTCTTGATTATTAAAATAAATACGTTGAAAGGTATATTTGGTGCCTGTTTTTTTAAAAACAAAACATACAATTTAAAATTAAACTCAAGGATGTCGACTTATTACAGAGAATTTTATGTGCCCGCAGCTGTGCAAAGTCGATAACACGAGCTGTCTTACCTACAACCATTAGTCACCCTTAGTGTTTTTTTTCGCTGTAAAATTAAATATGTTCTCCTAGTACAGCATACTTTGTTGAAGTGGCTTAGTCTGCAAACGCTAATATGGAGCTTTTGATACGGTGCACTGATACTGTTCTACTTAAACATATTAAATGCAGTCATAATAACGTACTTATATGTCTATACACATATAATGTATTTAAATATAGTAGCCATTACTGTTTAGTTAGTTATCGTTTTGAGTCTTTATCAAGGATATTTCAATTTTTCAGTTTCATCTTTGCACATGAAGCAGAAAAACAGTGTCCTGTTACAGCAGGCGATCGAGCTGCAAAGAAATCAAAGGTGATGTGTAATTTAATCGGCTTTCTGGCTCTAGCTTCTTTGAAATCTGTTAATTTCAAGGATAATGAAAACTAAACCCAAATGGTCTTTGAAAATAAATTTATTACTTTATTATTACCTTAAAGGAATTTAAACATATTATTTATTTTTAAAACGCAATCGATGTTCATTTGGAAGGGCGAAAGCATTCCGTGCTTGTGATTGAACACTAAACATTGTTAGGTTTCTAAAAATAATATCGGAAAGCACTGAAAAATAAATTTTAATGATTTTCTTCCTGATGCACGCAGACTAACTAGTATTAGTGTCTACTAATTTTACTTTGGTCTTTCTAAATATCAGTCTAGTCCTCAACTTATTGGAAAAAGCAAAATATGTATGTAGTAATTTTGAACAAGTGTTATATTATGTATAACAAACACTTTGTTATGTGAATATGGAGTATCTGATGAATCTGTAATGAAAAATAAGCAGTTAGTAACCAGAAAATATAGGAATATATTTCATTATTTCAAAATTGTATGTAGCGACGGTATCGGGGACAATTTTATCGAGCTTTCATAGTTCACATCTATTGGAAAATGATTTTTCGATATTGCACACTAATAACGGATTCATGATAAGGGAAGAAATAAATAATGAAACAGAGCTTAAACTATCAAATATATTCTATTATTAATACTATTTTATTTCATCATTATATACGAATGAATATAGTCCATAAGATATTAGGATTGCCCAAAGGAAAACAAATTCACGAAATTATATTTAATAGTGGTCGCCTAGTGGTCGACCATATTCTTTTACATGGTAGATTGTGTAATGTTTTTTCATTGATTTAATGTATTTTTTATGCATAATTAAAAATATATTATCATTCTGCACTCCTTCTCTTTATAAACTAAAAACGCGGGAAATTTCATACGCGTCCGTCCGCAAAATTTTTGTAAATAGGGTTACAAAGCTTTTGCTTCACGTATTAATACTCCCAATACACCAACGCTATAAATTGCATTGCTTACAAGTATTTTTCTTAGTGTAAATTTCAACGGTGAATCGACTCTCAGCGTCAAGTATAAGTTCCTTTACAGCCTTCGCACTCCAAGGCGTAAAAGCGTAGCATTGGATAAAACGAGTTCATTTGACACTCTGCCCGTAACTGCCAACTGAGACAGCATATAGACAAAAGGTTTTAAAGCGTCAGTCACTTAAGCCCTCCCAGTTGTGACATTGAAGCTTAGATGCTTATGCGTATTCAGAATGGAAATGTAATTTCTCGCTCATCGCGATACGATTATAACATTTTTATGCAGTTCCTTTATTTATAAAAGTCTTGACTTTTAAAGTTTAGATTGATTGGTCTGTTAATTTGTTAAACCAACTAAGACAAAAATATATAATAATAATTTGAACTCATTCATTTGAAAAACATTATATTCATACATATCAATTCATTTTTTAATAATCAGCATTGTGTTTAGTACATTAAGCTTTTTGAATTTCAGTATGGGCATATAATTGAAATAAAGCAACATATTCTTAGACATTTCGAAATAAAATTGACTTTCAAATGGTGTTTACTGCTACAAAAAATATATTCAAAGAAATAAGATTCCTCAGATTTTAATATGTTTCTGTTAGATTTTGTATTTCAAGTGCAAATAGTGATTTATCGCTGTAGTATTTTAGAATGTACTAATGACGGTTATCTTTAAAAGTAATTATTATATGGGTACGTGCCGTGTGTTTGAATGTCTGAGGTAAAAGAGGTATGCATATAAAACGGCAACAAGAAATCCTAAGTCTGTCTTGCTCTCCACTGGGTAAAAGTTAGTGTGAAAACACATAATTATATGAATTTTGAATACGCTTGTTTCACCACCTTTGCTTTAATATTTTATGAGGTTCGAAGACCCTTCCTTGATGAATCGATAGTTCATAAGTCTTTTGCATCATAAATAACAAACGTGACGTTAAACGCGTGAAAACTTTTTAGTACCTATTATACTCTACCGTGACGTCTCGAACAAAAATATTTACAACAAAAAACTTTATCAGAAAGATACTTAGTTTCTTCTTATAGGGTTCTGTACCTCAATAATTGGTAAAAAAGGGACTTAAGGAAATGCATATACATTTGACAGTTTGATAAATAATCATTTGAGGAATTGTGATCGCCCTTATCTAATGTGCTAACAAAAAATAATAATCCTTTGTGTATCATTAATACCCAATACCTACTAACCTACGAGTTTTAGAAAATATACTACCCATATATATAGGAATAAACTCTGGCACTAATGAATAAAACAAGACATAATTCATAGTTTGTCCTTACTTTCCAACCTCAAAGTATAATGAAAAATATAATAAACTACTAGATGTAATAAAATATTCTGAACAAAAAGGAGGAATGATTCTGATTTGCCACGTATGGTACAAAAAAATGTCTCAAATTGTTTTGTTTGCGGATGACACTGTTGTTGATGAATGTATGAATCAGTCAGATGTAGTTGTTTAGTTTGTCGGGGTTGTAACGACACACTGTATAATAAAATATATCTTCTCTGGACAGGTCTAAATAAGAGAACCGTTGGTAGATTTTTGACATTCAAAAAGAGCTTAAAGAAGCTTATTGAATAAAGAAGATAAAGAACACGAAATTGGTAAGTTTGTTTTTCTTATACAGCGTGCTGTTACCATCGCGACAATAAATGAACACAAGTCTAACGCTACTTGCCAATATACATAAAAAAAATATTAACGTTAAAAAATCCATAATTAAAAAAAATATTTTTTCAAACAAACTAATTAAGTAAAAAAGAAACAAAATTTGTAACATCCTATACAACTACAACTGACTGATTCATACATTCAAAGACTTTTTCATTTGTTGCCACAGCGTCGCATTACAAGCCTCTCTTTCTAACAGTATATTTTGTCTCTTTTAAATTCATTCAACCCATTCATATGCTTTGTGACCTTTACGAATGAACTTTACGATACAGTTTTATACGCAAGGGTGTTGTGAAATTCTTTGATTTGGAAAATTTAATAACTCTGTAAATATTGATGTTTAAAGAATGTCTCTTTCTTTCTTTCTTTTCTTTCTAAATGTTTAATACAATTTTAAAAAGTTATCCTCTATATGTGTGTACATTTATTGTCGCGATGGTAAAGACACGCTGTATACCACCTACCACCACCCGGGTAACATTGTTCTGCAAAAATGCATTTTACGAACACCGCCTAATCGTATACCGTTATAGCGCATAATGAACTTAATTGACTACCCATATTTCGATACATAAAGTAGATAATGCAACAGTATGAAAAATTCTAGCTTACATCGCTCTCCTGCATTTCGCTGCATTGCTTTACTGCATCAAGAAAAATAATAGAAGTTTACTTAAGCGGGCAAAATGAGATATATTCGTGTATTTAGTTTACTCGCTTGTTACGTGCTTTTCAAGGAGTACCTACATGCTTTTCAACAGTAACAATTTTTGTAGCGAAAAAACTATGATGTCAGTCGCCACAATATTTCGAGGATGTTGACGAACTTGTGCAGAATTTTGAGTTTTGAGTTTTGAGTTAGATGATTACGGTAACATAGCAGAAATGCATTTTTAGTTAATTTCTCGATAGCGGATCATCGTTGCTTATTGAAGGCAGCGCTTCAAATTGCGGAATAATTCGCAAATAGCCTTTGTTTGTCTACATATAGTGAACCTTTAAATTGGTTTTAGTTCCATAAACAATAAAAGTCAGTTGTACAGTACAAACTATTGTTCAGCGAAATTGAAAAGTTGATTAATTAGAGCACAAAATAAAAAGCTGATACCTATTAATCTTACAATTGTGGAAAACTTTACGTTTTCCTGTTGTTGAAGAAAATTCAAACATTCAACTGCCACAATAGATGATTTCTACTGAAAGTTAAATTAACTAGGTTTTATAGTCATTAACAACTGCGTTTCATAAAACTTTAAAAAGGAATAACTTTCGTGACATACAAAAAACATACAATATACGTCAAAAGGTTTTTTACTTCAAGTCTGAATATCAAAGAAAATCCGTGACTTCAAAAATTTTAATTATCTAAATATTCACTAGAGCGGCAAGTACACGCTAGCGTTTGCTAAAATTGAAATTATGAAACGAAATCGTGTTAGAAAGAAAAAATTATCAAGGCAAACGAATTGTTAAATGGCACTAATATGCTAGTATATTCTTATTATAGTAATATTCTTCCGAAGGTACAATCCGCGTATGGAAGGGCTCAAGCACCTTACCACAAATCCTTATAGCGTTCGCCTTAAGCTTTACCTCAAACTCAAAGCAAGGAATAGACGACGAACTATTCAAATACTAATTTGATGAGGTTACAAATGTGGTCCCTGAAAATATCTCTTCACCATTATTACTTCCTCTGTTTTGAATATTAAGTAGCTTTATCTATTCAAAGACGTTAAACGTTCAATTTGTTATTTTCGCATGTAACGCAAACATGAAAATTAGGATTATTATAAATCTGTCTGCGTTTTTTTTAATTTTATGTTTATTACGGAGAGTATGCGAGTCTACGATTAAATTAATTCAAGGTTATATTCAGTATTAAGCTTGTGGTAAATTTCACTCTATTTTCAGTGTAAACATGTAACGTATAGTCATAAATATATCCTCTAATTAATATAATTGAAAGTAAATAATTTTAAATGGTTATTCTTATTAAATTAATAGGTAGGTAGTTCATATTAAGTTTTTGTAGCCGAAAATATTCAAGTTTAAATGGAATGGAGCGTGACAAAGATGGGAAAAATAAAACATCATTAACGATATGTGTGGTCAATGTTATTTTCCAGCCTCAATAATAGAGATACACGTGAACATTGAATTTTAAATTGAGAAAAACATAACGTTTATTAAAATTTGTCAGTCGGTTAAAGTATCTGGCATATTACAAATGTTAAATGTGTAACATCATTTTACGCTTTTATATTATTTATCTTCCCTAATTTTCCTCTTGCATTTTAGATTGAAAATTAAATTTTATAATAATTAATTTGTTCCAGGCTCTGATTGTAATCTTGAACACGGATCGACTTGAGTTTTAAGCTCGAGCAACGACACAAGATGATTCTTTGTAGCGTAGACGAAGCTAAGGTTTGTAGAGTCAGGAGTCAGTAGAGTAGGTTCACTCCTCCAAATATATTCATGCACTAAAACCTTTTCTGCAACCTAGCCACCTTCTGGATTGCAACTAATAATTAAAGGGCATCTAAGTATCTGTATACCTCTTATTATAACACCTATTTATATAAATATATATGAATGAATAGATAAATGATTGATTGATTGATTAATATGACTGTACGTAAATATTAAAAGAAAATTAGTCCAAATTATGTCATCCAAATAATTATTTCATCTTTCATTATAAAAAAGTTTGTTGGAAACATAAGTTTATGTTCGTAATTCATATTATATACATATATTATTTGTGCTTCCTTCATTTACATAGACAGAGTGCTTATTGATATTTTGGCTAGCGATGAAAACACTGTAACAGTGAATTTAACGGCATTTGTTGCATGCAACATGATATTTCCGATATGTACAATGTATATGGAGACATATTGTTATAATTTTGAAACTATAAGTTAATTGTTTAAAATTTATATTCACTTAAAAAATTATCCATGTAGCACTTTTATTTGACTAAGCGTTAAAAAGTAAGTAACTTCAACCTGTAGAATGAAATTGTTTCATGATGAACTATGAGATATAAAAATAATGTTAAATGACTTTTTATTTGACCTCGAGCTGAAAAATGCACTGGTTAATTAACGAACTCAGCCTCCTTCAACAAGGTTTTACCGTAAATATTTAAGTAAGTTAGTTATATGTCAGTAAAGTAGACAATGAGAGATATTTCGTTTGAAGCGTGTCCGAAATGTTTAATTTAATACTTAATTACTTATACAAACATAATACAATATACAATATATATATACAAACATTCGTTTAAATTTTAAGCCCTTAGACGGTAGGTAGAGATATAACAAGTTTTCCACGCTTCACTGTCTTCGTATAGAAAAGGTTCCGGTTCCAGATTACCAGTAGCAAATGAAAATATTATCCATGTAAAAAATACAAGTTCTAAAATCGTAAAGTGCACGCCAATAGTATTCGAATTCGCTATTTTAGTTCGCTAGTCCTTCAAACAACAAAGCAATTAATGCATATAATTTTGCCACAGTTTTCATCGGTATTCGCTACATATCGTATTGAAAGAGACAAGTGTATTGTTAATGCGATAAACGCTGACTTTATGTTATACATAATCTACTCGTGTTTCAGGCTCATGTTATAATAAATAAATACTTCCGCAGAGCCTCTGATAAAACTGAAAGCGCAATTTGTAAGCATAGATATCATCATAGTTGTAAATATGAGGTAAAAAATTGAATTATTAAAATTACCTATATAAAAAAAGTTCTAGTCTTACTACTACTTACTACTCCTTATTCATCAAAAAGTTCCAATGACAATTTTTTTATTCAAATTATTAAAAACGTCAAGTCATGTCCGTTAAGCTGAATTTTCCTTAAAAATATGTCTCTAAAAAAATATATATCTACAATTTGATACATACTAAGGTGAATTAATTAAATCCTTTGGTATTGGAAGCAAAACAAACGTTTTAATTGAAGGCAGCGGATTAATCAAAATCGGTTTTATTTCTTCTTCAGTTTTATGGAATGGAACTGGGTCAATAAAGAATAATAGGAACGAGAAATTACGTCACCGATTCGATTTGCTCGTGTTGAAATAAAAATTAAAGGCAAAGAATTCTGTATAAGCTTATAACTAGGGTATTATTCTTAGTGAATACAGTCTTTGTGTATTGTGTCTACGTCCTCTGTATATATGAACTAATGAAACAGACGACTAATACAATAAGCAAAATTAAGATGCAATTATATTAACTACATAAGAAAAATAATGTAAGCTCTACGGTGATAGCTTAATCGCAGTTACGTCTGACACGCAGTTTAAATTGACGGGTTAGTATTCTAGTAGCCTACACCAATTAATGTTTGTTTACAAATTATTTGCTTGCACAAATTATTAATTTTCTTTTCTGTCCGGTAAAAGGAAAGTTTTACGCGGATAAGATATGTATCTACACACACTACAAATCTATTATACACATTTATACACACGGATACACATATTTCTCTACATGTTGGTAGGTATATTCTAATAAATTAAGGTTATACAATAATGAAATAGCTTTATATTGTGCTTTGATGCAATTTGATTTACTTAAACTTCTTTATAAGATTCCGTTACAGGGTGGTGGGTTGATTATTTGAGATACAGGATTGGTCCTAGTTCAAGAGTCAAACTATTCAATGTTTTCTTGTCTATAATGCAATAACCCGCCCCTAATTTCGGTTCTCGTTCAAAGTTGTCACACGACTCCAGTAATGATGAAAAAAATGTTAACACTTCCAGGATAACGATGGATACTTTACATACGTTAATATTGACTACTTAAAACCGAATGACGTTA